TATACAGTGGAACCTCGGTATACGTCTGCTTTAGAATACGTCCAATTCGGAATACGTCCTGTTTGGACGAAACAAATTTTGCTCGGTATACGACTTTTCTTCGGTATACGACTTAATTCAATTATACGCGCCATCTATGAACAAGTAGCACTATCGGTGTACTACACTAGACTAGACGTTCGCGGTGCTACGGTTTATAACTTTGTTAAATTTCTTCTTATTTTAATTTGTAAGTAACATTTTATTATTTTTATTAATCATGAATTGCAAAAGGGCAACAAAAAAATAAAAAAAAATGACTAGAATCACAACGGAACTGAAAGAAAGAGATTGTTTAGAAATATGAAGGTGGCACGCGTGTTCGAGATTTAACTGTTGCATTCCGTATTCCGTACGACGATATCGACAATCGTGAAAAATAAAGACATTATTAAATTTGTTAACGTTGCGAAAGGAGTTAATCATTTTTACATTACTTCTTATGGAAAAGGTTGGTTTGGTATACGTCCTATTCGGTATAAGTCCAAACATCAGGAACGGATTAAGGTCGTATACCGAGGNAGACATTATTAAATTTGTTAACGTTGCGAAAGGAGTTAATCATTTTTACATTACTTCTTATGGAAAAGGTTGGTTTGGTATACGTCCTATTCGGTATAAGTCCAAACATCAGGAACGGATTAAGGTCGTATACCGAGGTTCCACTGTATTTCGAAGAAATAAGTCCCCTGTACTCGGCTAGAGATTGGTTCGGTTAAGCTTTTGTTTAAGTAAAATTTCGGCTCTTTCACCAGGGTTTTGTTTATGTCCCAATTCCCTAATCGCTTAATTATTTAACTACCGTACTTCTTAAGTAGAAATAAGTCGAAACCAATTACTTTGTACTCGAATATTTGTAGTCTTGGGAAAAATGTGGAAAGACAAATTTTTATGACAACGGATACATAAATCGTAAATTTAAGGAAAATAAATTCTAGAACTTTTTCCGTACCTCGTGCATCTCTCTCATTCATTAAATTTAGTCGTAAATGATGCTACCAAAGTAACGGTTAATTTTTTTAACATTATACAAGAATTATACACGTTTTTTTCTACATCCCCTTAAAGATGGGATATACGAAATCGTAATATCACCGGTTTAACATTAAAATCCGTGAGTAATATAAAATCGGAGAGCGGAATAAATATATCAAATATTTTAATGGATTTTTAAAACTCCTGTCAACTATACAGAACTATCGTAAAAACATATCATTAAATTCTTATGGGTTGAGTTAAGTTATAAATCTACTCGTTATTCACGTAATCGGCCAAATATCTAGCGGGCGGGCGGCTAACAGCCCGAGAAATTTTTATTACATTAAGCTAAAGTGCTGACTAAACTATAAATTTGACTTGTTAATTAATTAGATTGAGTTTAACCTGTTTGTATTTTTGGAAATTATGCTTTTTCTTTAAGAAGATATAACAATCTTTAAAAAACATTAAATATAGTATTCTTATCATATGAATCAATACTATTTCTTATACTAAAAATGACATTCTACATTTTTATTATTCATTGAGGCTATATTTTAGTTTTTCATTAAAAAAAATACAAGATTAAATTATTTTTTAATTCTAATTTTGATGGTTCTCTTCATATAGAAATACTTAAAATTAATATTTGTAAAAAGTGTTTACTAAAATGTTATATATTATAAAATATTTTTTTAAATTTATAGACAGTGTGCATAGAAAAAAATAATACTTTGGGAGGAACTTGTTTGAATGTTGGCTGTATTCCATCCAAAGCACTACTCCACAATTCCCATTTGTATCATATGGCTCATTCAAATGATTTGAAAAATAGAGGAATAGAATGTAAGCAAATTTTTTAGTTATATAAAATTGATTCTGATACTTTATACAACAATTCCCTGTTAATGTGAATTGGAAGGGGATGAATAAAGCTAAGTTTTTAAGTTTGCACTAACAGGGTTCTCATTAAAGGGTTTTTGTTTAAAACTTTTTATTCTATTGTAGATCTGAAATTGAAATATACTGTTTTTTTGTTACTGAAATATATAGATATTTTAATTTTTGAATTTTTAATGAAAATTTTCAAAAAATTTTCTTATATTCAATACATTGGAACCTTGCTTAATGAGCATAATTTGTTCCAGAATCTTACTCATAATGCAAAACATTCATTAAGCAAAACAATTTTTTCTATATAAATTAATGTAATGTAAAATTGTGATAATGTATTTCATGCCAAAAAAATACTCAAATATTTTATGTATAACATTTATTCAAAGAAAATTATACAATATACATTGTTAAGGAGTGTGAATCATCTTCATCTTTTCTTCTAGCGTGGAATGAACCNTCAAATTAATTAATTTCTAATATTTAATTATAGCCTTTACATAACCCAAGAATTTGGCATATCGTTTGGCATGTTTATTATATAACAGGCTATGATTATTGATATTTATATGTAATATGTCTGAATAGAAGTTTGGAAAAATGTGTGATCACAAGTGACACTAAGATGCTAGTGAAGCCAGTGCTAAACACAGACTGATTTATCATGTGCACAATCTGGGACTTCCCCTCTCCTCGTCAATTGTTATGTGAAACATCTCTTGTTAAGCAAGGTTCCAGTGTAGTAAAATTTTTATTTCTCAACAGTTGAAAGATTGAAAAAGTTGGATTTTTATAGTGTATTAATATAATTAAAATACCATCTTAACTAATACTGTATAAAAATTTATTTGCCAAATGCTTTTTTATTCTGAACTGAGATGATCTTTATTTTATCAAAAGTATAGCTCTTGAATGAGATTTATTCATTTTTTTTATACAGATGTGGAATTTAAAACTTATTTTTATGTATTTAGCTATTAAATATGTTGTTATTTAATTATAAAATTTATATAATAAATAAAATAAATATTAGATTAAAATTTTAGTGATAAATATTACTTTTCTTTCAGTTGACAATATAAGATTAAATTTAGAAAAGTTAATGGAACAGAAATCAGGTGCTGTTAAAGCTCTTACATCAGGAATAGCTCATTTATTTAAACAAAACAAGGTTTGAAATTTTTTATTTATAAATGAAATTATTACACTTTAAAAATCTTCAAAATATACAAAACATAGATGATAGTATATTGCATATTTTTCATAATTATCATCATACAGTGGATTCATGATCTATCATTTTTGGTGGAATTTGGGGAAAAATAACTAATGTGGGTAAACAGATGACACTGGAAATTTACAACATCAATGTTTTTATTGAAACTATCATTGGATCAAAAGCTAGGCAATCATTGGGGAATTGGGATGGAACACAAATTTATGTGGAAATTTATTTTATGAGGTACCTTCCTCCACATAAAACAAAACCATATTGTAGATTGAACAGTTTTTATGGATTGCTACAAAAAATTTTAAAGAAAATACTTAAAATTTTTTTGTTTAGAATTGTTTGAAATTTTTATTACATTAAGCTAAAGTGCTGACTGTTTATAATTCTGATGAGTACTCAACTTGAATGCTCACTTTGCATTTGGTAGTTAATGTTGAGAATAGATTTTAAATATTATTAAATCATATATTTGCAATAACATTTTTTTACAGTATTACTATCAGTTTTAGAGGCATTTTGGGAAAATAAATAAATAATTTTAAGCCTGAGCTCATTTTTCAAAGCCTTTAATAAAATTAAAATTTTTGTAAGATTTAGACACATTTAGGAGTGCTTTTTACCACATTTAGGCACAATAGAAATGCTCTTTTCTACAGATAGGAATATGTTGTAACAAGCTTTGAATGCTAAAAATGGCTAATACTGATTAATTTTCATGTACACAAACTATTAAAAGAAAAATTACGCATATAAGGTGGAACAGCAAACAGAGCCTTTGTTATTTGGGAAACATGTTGGAAACATAATATAAATATCAATACATACTAAACATAACCAGCACAATACTGTTCTGCTACATTCAGACTCATCATAACAATAATCACAATAATGAAAGTAATACCTTTGTAGATACTGGAGTAAATATGTTATAAATGTGGAGTTGATGCAATTGCTTTAAGCTTTATTATGAAAACTAACTAAAGAATTTAATGTAATATTATAATTTACAAGTGCTATAGATTAATAAATACTATATGTCTACTGACTAGCTTCTTATCCCCCTTTTTATTAAGTATTTCTCAGTTACTGTTATATTCTAGTTATTTTAGGAGTTATTACACAGAGATTTGAGACCATTATTTTATTTTAAAACTGTCCAGTATAATATACAGCATTCAACTCTGACATTTAAGATGCATTTTGGCACTATTTTCTGTGCTTTCTTTAATTAGATTTCTTATTGGAGTTTCTTATGGATGTATTTTGTAAAACTCCGATAAGAAATCTAACTGAAGAGACACAGCGAAAGTGCCGAAATGCATTTTAGATATCAGAGTTGAATGCTGTATATTATACTGGATAGTTTTACAATAAAATAATGGTCTCAAGGTTTTGTGATAACACCTAAAATAATTGGAATGTAACTGTAATTGAGAACTAATTGTAAATTATAACTTAACATATAAACATATATTAACTTTATTATAACATATTTTTGAAGTAATTTACAAATTACTCTAATAAATGTTATATAGATATAAAGAGCGTAAAATTTCAGATTTAGGCAGTTGTGCTTCTGTTTTGTGAGCCTTCTACTTCTTATATAATATTTTAATAATTAAATTATAGTATCAAACTATATTAATGCATCTATAGTTTAGGCTTATAAGTTAGAAAAGTAATCTCTACTAAGTATATTAATTTTTTTTCAAAACAATTGCAATTGCAATAATTTTATTGATAAGTTTTTAAATAATGTGTTTTACAAAATAGAGTTGAGTCAAGCAAATTTTTTGAAATTCTACACATTTTTAATGATATTATGGTACAAAATGGTGTTATTGAATTTTTCCAACTCATTACTAAAATGTAATGCAATGTTAGACATATTACTGGATGGCTGAGACAGTTAAGATGTCAGCCCATCACTCTGAGATTCCAGGATTGAATTTACCAGGAATTTTTTCATGGGTTATCTATTCTGGATATGTTAGGCCCCATCCCTCACAACCTGCCACTCCCTTTTATTCGCCTGATCAACCCACAATGAATACCGGAGAGAAAGTCCCTCTTAGTGCCCACAGAGCAAAAAAATTTATATATTACCATATTTCCAGAATTTGTATAAATAGAGTTATAATTTTTATATTTGTGATTATTTTCATTTTATATTTAAATGGAATATAATATATTAATTTTGTATCAAAGAACTAACAGCACATCACTTTTGTAATGAATTAAAACAAAATTTCTCAAGTCTATAATGATTTATGTTGATTGATTTTACAGTCGACCCCCCTATAAGATCATTGATTTTTCCGTTTTATCTGAATTACATGTTGTACGAGTCACTTAGATTTTACAAATATGTGAGCCGNTTACCCACATAATCATTCTTTAATTCCATTTTAATTCTTAAATAATCTGACTTTTTAAATATTTGCTCATTCTTATATTTGTGAAAATTAAAAAATTTTGAAAACTGAGTTTTATCTTATGTAAAGTTTTATTAAATTAACATGAACAAAAATTGTTTAACATATCAAAAAGTTGAATTATAATTAAGTAATTGAAGCATTAAACTTTATTATTTATTATACAAAAAATATAGTAAATAAAATACAATGAAAATTTGAACTTATTTTCATATACTGTATAAATTGTTAATAATTATTTTTATATTAATAGTCAGAATATGTATGTACAGTACAGTTTAATTCTTCAAATATTGTGGTAATTTATCAGGTAACTCATATCCAAGGTCATGGAAAAATAACAGGAAAAAATGAAGTCACAGCATTAAAGAGTGATGGTTCTTCAGAAGTGGTAAAAACTAAAAATATTCTCATTGCGACAGGATCTGAAACTGCTACTTTTCCTGGAATTGAGGTAATATGTTTATTAAATGTTAAATTAATTTTGAGGTTTTCAAATACTAAAAAAAAAAAAAAAATGTTTATTTAGAAGGGATATTTACACAGTGGAAATTTGATTATCAGAATTTGATGGGACCGGAGGTCTTTTGAAGAAACAAAATTTTAGATAATTATGAAACTTGTTTTGTTTTTGTGTTTTGAATACATCAAACATTGTGCATATAAAGTTTTGCGAAAAATAAATACTTTTAAAGCAATTACTATATTTAAAAATAAATTAATTTAATCAAAATCTAATGTAATGTTATATATATATATATAACTTAGTTTTATGGTACTACAATCAACAGATGTATTTTTATCATTTATTTTTGTAAGCCATTTCAGATAATCACATTTCTACTGGTTGCCAACTGGAGTGGAAAAGTTGAGAGGGTCAAGGGGTTACAAAGGGTGGTATGTAGAGTCTGTCTCAGCAGCAGTGCTGAGACAGACTCTACATACCACCTGTTTATCTAACATGAAAGAAGCTTAAAAGATTTCTACGATCTTGGAAGATCTAAGTCAGCAGCAGCCTCTGGGTCTTCCTCTTTTTTTCCAAGATAGTCTCAAAAGGAGTGTCCCTGATTCACAGATGACAGTTCCTTCAATGTCTCCATGCTCCTGGGCGATGCAATCGACTTCTGGTGATGGGAAGATGTCGATCCAAGGAAGGGAGACGTAGACAAAGATAGGCCTAAGATACATACTGAACACTTGGAATTTTCAGGAGAAGAAGCCATTACATCCTTGAATTCCCAATGAACCAGGTTTTTATTAATTTCTATCCTCGATTGTCCATTCCAGTTGGTCGCTTTTCCTTATTCTTGATTTCCATGAGTTTGACCACTTGTTACTAAGTATAACGAGGATTGCAGGAGAGGTCAAGATTGATGTTTCAATCTCTTGTTGGGGATTGAAACATCAAACCCCAACAAGAGATGGTTGATCTTAGAACTTACATTCTTCTATTGTTTAAAAGTTCACATTGCATTTTCATACCAAAAAAAAAAAAAGGATTTTTAGCTTCTATTTTTTTCTTTAAAAAATAATTTTACTGAGGGTTCTGAACTGTCCAGAGCCTCACATGTGTATATAAAGCCATATTAGTTTTAAAAATTCACAAAAGGAATTTCAGGAAGTAATGTCATTATTAAAAATTATCAAAATAATTATTCAATTTCACTTTTAAACTAATAATGGCAGTTCAAAGAAAATAACAGTAATGTTAATTTTCTTTTGAGGATATAACTTACTTACTGAACATATATATTTTGTTAATTAAGTATATGTTCATATATATACTTAATGAAAGACCATGGCAATACTGTTTAGTCAGCAGAAGAAGAGGAAGGGAAGGAGGGTGAGGAGATATATAGGATCTTTCCTTTCTCTAACATACAGAAATGTTTTGTGAAAAATTTTGTTTTAAATAAAAGATTGATATATTTTATGAAGAAAATTCTTATCTATATGTTTTTCATACAGTTGAAATTAAAAGAAAGTTTGATTTTAAAAAATTTATATTTCAGATTGATGAGAAAACTGTAGTTTCATCAACAGGTGCACTTTCATTAGAACGGGTACCTGAAAAAATGGTTGTTATTGGAGCAGGTGTTATAGGTCTTGAATTGGTAAGATTTTATTTACTATAATTCTTAACATTTAATATCCTGTAAATTGATAGATTTAAGAAATTAAATCTCTATATATCAGCATCCTGAAACCCGATATATTGACATTAAGCCAAACGATTTGTATTAATTATAGCATAATATTAGCCCGATTTAATTATGGTGATTGTTTGGCTTAGTAAATTTAATCTCTGTACAAAATGTGTTTATTAAGTTAGAACTATATTTTAAATTGGTACTTATTAATAATTTCACTTTTATTTAATTATTTCTCATATATAGGAAGTAATTTAATGGATAAGGATTAATTAGATTGTTGAAAAATTTTTTTCACAATGGAGAGTTATTTTTCTTAAAATTTAGACCTGTTTAAATTGATTTTTGAGTTTCAGATTGAAGATATTCTTGATAATTTAAAGCAGTTTTAGTCAATTAATTCTATACAATTATATGTTCTTTTATTCTTTATTATGTTTATACAAAAATAATCACATTTTATACAAAATATTCAGAAATAGTTTTCTCAATGTTTGCACTGCTTATCTGATTGTTGTCATAATTTACTTTTTAGTAAGATAAAACATAATAATGAAATGAAATTTGATAAGTGCTATTAAAATAGAAGAATATGTAAGGAAGAACATTGTACATTTGTACATTTGATGAAACAATAATTAATGAAAATTATTTATTAGTTACATTTTGTACATGCATTTAATAACATCAAATATCATTTATTAATTATTAATAAACTATATTTTACAAAATTTATTAAATGTGTTACACAAATACTACTAATAGTGTCATGAAATGATGATTTAATATTTTTGTTTTGAGCCAAATTAATAATAAATACTTGAAAAATTAGATATATTTTAATTAACAAAAGTAGATTTAAATTTCTAGGTAAGGACATATTTTGGTTCTGCTATATGAATGTAATTTATTCGTGAAAAATGGTTAGTAAAGTAAATATTTGTATAGAAATCTGTATGTTTAGTATTTCTTATGGGCAATATTCCAATGTATTTTCTATTCTGAACAAATTTCCTGCAAAAATTTTACAAAATCCTAAACAGTATTTTTATAATGTTAGTTTTTAACATGTTTATTATTGTGAGCCCAATGGTTTACAGGGTGTAAATTTTTGAGTTTAATATGTTTTTACATTAGAGGATGAAAAAAATAATTTATCGCAAGTTATAACGGAAATAGATCAGATGTCGAATTTTACACATCCACAAGGTAGGAAGGAAGAAAGACAAGTCATCGTTTGTTTGTTAATTAGTCAATGTGCACATGCTAATTAGTCATCATAATGAGTGACCGACCAGTTTGTTCAGTGCCAACGACGATCGTATAAAAACAATTGTCACGGGAAGTTCAGGGCAATTGTCCCCTCAGTGCGATCGTCCCTCCACGCGATCATCTGGAAGGTCTGAGTACAGTGTCTCCCGTCCTGGTCATGTCTGAGGAGAAGCTGGTAGAAGACATAAGCCTGTGACAGCCAGCCAGCTTCCATAATCCAGAATGATCGTCGCATACCGTCATCCAACATAAGGTATACTGACCGCCAATATAACTCTCTCACTCTAGAGCCTTTGTAAACTCTCTCATGTGGCATAGTGACTAGTTAGATCGCCATTATGGATAGATTTGTGTTATCCATATTTAAGCATTAAGTCTGTAACTTCCTTATGTATACTCCTGTAAATTAACTTTAGTTATAGAATAAACCTGTCTCCTGTCTATTTGAGGAAACCTGTTGACTTACCGATGCACTCCCCACTCTTTTTCCTCCTAGCCATCTGAACGACTCCGAGATCAGGTTTTACCAGCCTGTACAGATTAAGTGGTCAGTACCATATTAACCCCTGACCCACTGCTTATCTCACATTATAACTCACATTCTACTAATCTCCCTAAGTCGATCTTGTATATTGGTGCAATGTAAATATAAGTAAATATAAATATGGTGTAAATATAAGAGTGCCCTTTTAATAAGTGCCTCATTTAAGGCGCTTATTAAAAGGACACTTTTATATTGCACCAACGTACAAGATCGACTTAGGGAGATTAGTAGAATTAAGAAAGTTGCGAAAAGTTTAGAATACAAAACATCTACAATTGATGGATTAGTCAAGGGTTACAGACAAGATGCAAGCAAACGGGGTAATAGAGAAAATAGGTTTAATAAGTTCACGTATAACAAGAATGTAGAGGGAGTGATGGAGGAATTATGTAAATATAAAAACATGAGAACAATATATAAACGAGTGCCAAACATCTATAGATTGCTAAGAAATGATAAGGACGAAGTAAGAATGAAGGAGAAGGCTGGGGTTTATAGAATTCCTTTTGAAAATCAGCAGTTAGGAGTGGCAAAGGATTATGTGGGTGTCACCACAAGAAATTTGGCAGTACGTATAAAAGAGCACATGTATGATGTTAGTAAAGGGAACAACAACACTATCTTGGCAATCATGGCGCAAACAGATGGTGCAAGTGTTAAATGGGATGAGGCACGAATTGTTAAACCGGTCCATTCTCCGACGATTGCATTGGATATGGAGAAGATGGAGACATATAAGAGTAAAGTAAATATCAATTGCTTAAATGCCAAGGACGCTAATGTTCTTCCAACGTCATGAAAATATGTGATAGAAAAGGAAATGGGAATTAAAAACCCTTAAACTTGTGGTGGTTGTATTTTAACTGGTTTAATGTATATTTTCGTTATATTATTTTATTTTTACATTTGTTTAATTATATATTATGTTAGTATTTTGTTAATATTTAATACTTCACAGTTTAATGTAAAGTTTTTAAAAATATGTTTTAAATTTTTTTAAATTTAAAGAGTGTTCAAAAAGCTTTGTGTTCGATTGTAGAACAAATTTCTGAAGATGGCCTATTAGAAATAGGCTGAAAACGTTTGAGTATTAAATTAATAGTAAGCTCAGCAAGTGTTTGGTGTTTGATTATATTTTCACTCATTTGTGAACTGGAAAATTCAGGCATTTGCATAATGAATTTTAATGTAAATTCTTCATGTTCATATATTTGCCTAGTGGAATATGCATTTATATTGTTTTCAAACTATCTTAATATATTTTTGTTTTTTAGGGTTCGGTATGGTCTAGGTTAGGTGCAGAAGTTACAGCAGTAGAATTTTTAGGCCATATAGGAGGAATTGGTATAGATATGGAAATAGCCAAAAATTTTCAGCGTATTCTGACAAAACAAGGCCTTAAAATAAAACTCAACACAAAAGTTACATCAGCTAGAAAAGAAAGTGATAAAATAATTGTCAGTGTAGAACAAGCAAAAGATGCAAGTAAAAAGGAAGAGGTCGGTATCAATTATTTTTATAAATTAATATATATCTGATATTAGTCTGATGATAATAGTAATGATAGTAATAAATTAGTCTGATCTGTTATATATACATAGGGGTGCAAAAGTAGGTATACAATTGAGAATCTGAGAAATACAAATGTTTGGTGTTTATTGTTATTATTTTTATTATCTTTTAATTAGTTACTCCACACTTAAGGTATATTAGAACCTGATGCAGAGCCCAGAAAGGGTTCAAAAATTTTCGTTTTTTTTTTTTTTAATGTTTTTCGATGTTACCACACCATAAATTGGTTCTGTGTGCGTAATTTTTTAAATTTTTATTAACTTTTATTAGTTTGTATTCCTTATTTGTGATTTAATTTGTACATAAAAAATAAATGTTTTTTCTTCCTATTTTCTCCCTGTATGTTTTTTCCCCATAATATCAACTGTATACCTACTTTTGCAGCCCCTGTATTTTGAATATAAAAATTGACTTTTTTACATTTTTTGATATTAAATAATAAATTAATAACTGTTTTTAAAATCAAAATTTAAATATAATTTTTACTGAATTAAATTGAGAAAATTCACTATTATTAATTAAGAAAAACATTCAATAAATGAAAATTATTTTTCAAAACCATTTTCCAAATTTTATTATTAGTGAAAAAAGTTTCAGCTTCAGTTTCAAAAGATTCAATAAATGGTAATACATCTAATCTAGCTTGTAAGATATGCAGATTTAGACTCCCTTACAGATCTGAAAATTATTTTTTTGGTAGAACAGAAATAAAAGAAAGATTTGTTGTGACACTAGAGGACAATAAAAGGTTGTGAACAAGTCATGCAGTTGCATTATTGGCAAAGACTTCATCTGTTCAATATGCAACAACAACACAGCATTTAATTTTAAGAATTAGTTTTTTAAAAATTAGGGAAAAATAAAAAATCTTTTTGTTAAGTTATTGAAACAAATGCTTTTAAAGATGTTTTGTGAGATATTTTAATAATTTGATTTCATTTCCATATAGTAAACTTTGGTTGGATATGAAATAGAATAACTGAAAAGTAGAAAAAGTTATTTTATTACATTAAAAGGAAAAAAGACAGATTATAAATAGTTTTAAGAAATGTCTATTGGAAGTAAATGTGATTTGCAATCTCTTTGGTTAAAAAAATATACAAAACACTCACTACTCACCACACCTATATATCAAACACAAACACTGAACCAATTTACGGTGTGGAATGATCAAATTTACGAGCTAAAACCTGATGAAGAGCCCAGAAGGGGTTCGAAAACGTTTGTTTTTTATGATTAGTCGATTGTTCCACACTGTAAATTGGTTCAGTGTTTGTGTTTAAAAAAAATATTTTCTGAAAATGTAAAAAATTCAATTTGTAATTTAAAGACAACCAAGGAGAGATATAAAACTTAAAATGGGTCTTGCATGTAAATGAATAACTCAAATTTGTTTATTAGTCAATAAAGGAAAATTTTTTAAAAACCTTACATTGCTTAATCTTCTATTTGAAGTCNAAATTCAACGCCACGGAGAAAAATTTCAACATGGGATAGGTTAATATATTTTTTTGTACATAATTGGTTATCTGAAAAATAAGTTATCCGAATAACCCCAGTCCTCAATTGATTCAGATAAAAGACGCTCTACTGTGTATTTAGTTACAGGTTCAAATTTGAAATCTTGTGTTACATTTGAAATTTTTCTTATTGTATATTTTTATTTATTTCAAAATAATCTTTTTGAACTTATTTTAATATTATAAAACCAGCACTGAAATCTGTAGAATCTATTTGAAAGCATATAGAAAAATTACATTCTGCTTCAAGTTTTTTCTTAAAGTAGAAAGTTCCTTAAATATCAAACCCAGCTTCTTTTTAAAACACTTAATAAAACATTAACACCTTATATTGCTGAGAATACTTTATTTAATCACTAACGTTTTCAGCCTAATGGATAGGCCATCGTCAGGTGAACTGTCAATCGAACATATTTCAGACTTGTAGCAAATGGAACGTTCAATCATTATAAATTGAAAATTAAAACGAAAAATAAACTAGTAAATCAATAACCAAAATAAATGTACTAAATACTTTGAAGCCAAAACCATATAAATAACATTTATATGGTTTTGGCTTCCATTAGACTGAAAACATTTGTGATTAAATAAAGTATTCTCAGTGATATATGGTATTAATGTTTTATTAAGTGTAGAAAATTCCAGGAATATAATTTTTAAAGTAGGCATTAGTGATGGCCATATTTAAAAATAGTGTCTTGTAAATTATGTAATAATATCAAGCTTGTCATCTTTTGTTAATTCCAATTGGCATCTTTACAAATGTTAAAAATTAGTTTATTGAAAACTTATTTTTGATGTTAAAAAATTTTACATTTTCTTGGCATATTCAAATTTAAAATTTTTTTATTTCTTCTATTTTTATTTTAAAGACTTTCTAGTCATCTTATCAATTATAAAGATATTTTCATTTTGTCATTCTTCTAAAATTAATAGTGAAATATGTTTGACATAATCAAGTGAGGGGCTTGCCAGGGATACGGAGTAGTTAATACTCTTGTACCACTTATTCGGCAGCTATCTGTTAGAATAGCCCTCGGGTTGTCTAAAAAAATGACTTTTCTATCAAAGAAATAGAGTGCAGAGGGACTTACAGTTTGAAGTAAAACAAAAGTGAAATTAGATGATTGCGTAATCACCCTTTTCTTTATCAGGATTCCTGACACCAGTTAATCACTTTTATTGCGTGCGGATTAACACGCGTTATTCCTAACTTGTGAGTATGAGGAACGTAGGTAACTTAAATAGGAATGAGTATGAATAGCTAACATTAACCAGACCATATTTACGAGGCGTCTGTTTAAAGTAAGTACCGTTTCGAAATATAAAAAAAACAAGCAAACATTTTTAACAAAATTTTTATTTATGTGAAAGCCAAATATTTTACACTACTTTTCTACATAATTCCCATTAATATTGAGACACTTATCGTATCGCGAGACCAGCTTTTGTATTCCGTCCTCAAAGAATGTTGCCGCCTGATGACACAACCACTGCAGAACGGTCGTTTTGACTTCGTCGTGATTGTTATGGCGCTGCCCTGCCAGATGCTTCTTCAAATGCAGAAACAAATGATAGTCACTCGGCGCTAGGTTGGGACTGTATGGAGGGTGGTCTAATTGTTCCCAGCCAAATGATGTGATTAGGTCTTGAGTTTGAATTGCCATATGTGGACAACCATTATCGTGGAGCAAAACGACACCCTTGCTCAGTAAGCCCCGCCTTTTGTTTTGTATTGCACGGCGCAGTTTTTTTAAAGTCTCGCAGTATGCAGCTGAATTGATCGTTTCACCATGAGGCAAAAAATCAACAAGCAACACTCTGTATCTGTCCCAAAACACCGTGCACATGATTTTCTGAGCAGAAATTGTTTGCTTGAACTTGACTTTCCTTGGAGATGATGAATGTCGCCATTCCATGGATTGTTGCTTTGATTCCGGTGTAACGTAGGCTACCCACGTTTCATCGCCTGTAACAATACGACTTAAAAAATCATCTCCTTCGTCACTGTAGCGCTCAAGAAAAGTCAATGCACTGGCCAAACGTTTGGTTTTGTGCTCCTCCGTCAACATTTTCGGCACCCAACGGGAACACAACTTCCGATAATTTAATCGTCCGGTCACAATTTCATAGAGAACACTTCTTGAAACTGCAGGAAACTCTTTAGATAAAGATGAAATCGTGAATCGTCTGTTCTCTTTCACTCTACAGTCCACTTTTTCAATCAAATCGTCGATAATGACTGAAGGTCGCCCACTTCGTTCCTCATCGTGAATGTTTGTGCGGCCATTACTAAAGGCCCTAACCCATTTTCGTACCATTCCTTCACTCATAACGCTTTCACCATAAACTTCACTGATTTGGCGATGAATTTCAGCCGCTTTCGAGCCTTTAGCACTGAGAAAACGAATAACGGCACGCACTTCGCAGTCGGCGGGATTCTCAATGAGCGGCGGCATTTCAATAACACACAAACAACAGTAAACACAGTCGACTGGCTCCGTAATGGCGTTTGTGGCTTCCCAACAGATGTAGGTACACAGCGCGCATGCGCTAAGTGCCGACTGCAGCACTCCAGCAGCGTTATATTAAAACGGTACTTACTTTAAAAACACGCCTCGTATAAAGTAAATCAAAACATTTAATAAATCAAAAATAGCAAAAGCATACAAATGAATGAATAACAGATCGTACTTAAACCTAAATCTAAATAACTAACTTAAACCTAATCTTATTTTAAACTTGATGCGTGAGAGAGAGTTCACATCAATATAACCATTATCATATTACCTTCTCAGTTCTTTCAATATTTCAATGTATGAGAATCTTCTTTAATTATGACTATTATTCTTCTTATATCCTCTATGGCACTTTCCTTAAATAACTTTTCTTATGACAATCTTGTCATATACTTCGTATGGAGGACTCTGTATTATGACTTTCAATTAACTAACTCATATGACGGACTTTCTATATCGTATGGAGAACAATTCGTATGACGGTCTCTCCTTGAATGGCAGGAAAATGTCTCTTTTATATCGGCCTTCTCTGACGGCCCAGTAGCATGTGCAAAGACCACATTTTTGATTCATCTCATGAGTCGGCCGTGGAATGGAAATCAACTTCCTTTCTAAAATTGAAATTTCTTTTGACATCTGTTTTTGTAAAATTCGTTGAAGTTTTATAAATTAATAGAAAATAATATTTTAATCTTTTTCTCTCCTTGTTTTTGCCCAAAAATGACTTTCATTTCTAATTCTAGATTCTCACAATCAAAATATACTTGATGATTGATTAGATAAATAATACTATATTAAATAATAGTTTGTTAAATGAATAATTTTTTAAGTTATCTTTGTATAGTGAATACTGAAGGTAAGTGATAAGTTATATTGTATAAAATTAAACAGTAAGTCTTCATTTCAAAATATTTTTAGATTAGAATACTATTTTGTTAACTAAACATATTAAAATTAATAATTTTGCTCAATTTTCCTTAATATGCACCTCACATTTAAAAATGAATATAAAATGCACAAATCTAAATAAAGCTCACATAATTGAATAAATGCCATCCTTCTCTACAGTCAGAGACTTATAAAAATTTTGAAACTTGTTTTCTTATTTTTGGAATATTTTATATTTCCTGAAAACAAGAATATGAAAGGCATCTTCCTGAATTCAAGTACATCACAATTTTGACTAGTGCAAATTTATTAAATTGAATTCTATTATCAATCACTAAACCCTAAGCATTTATTTTTGAATAAGTATAAAGTGTACAGATTTGGCAACGTTTATGCATTCATTAATTAACAATAATAATTTATTAATTTTTTTAGTTTCCTAAATTTACGATGTATTTCTAGATTAACACTAATGAAGTTAATGTGCCTTTTTTCTTGAAGTTTATCTGATGAGAATCTGATGATTAATTTGAATCCAGTTATTAAAAGTCTGTTATGATGGTTCTTAAGTACTATCAACTGTTTACATACATGCATTAAAAAGTTAAAAAGGCCTGTTACACTTAACTTCACCATTTGAGGTATGTGGTATAAAGTATTTGAACCTTGACTCATCAACATCTGCCTTTTTCATTGGCCTCTTTTACTGATTTATGAATTTAGTCCTGAGGATCAAATCTGTGAGAAATTTGCAAGTTAGGTCATCTGGGACTTAGTAAGCAAGGACTTAGTAATTTTTGTAACTTGAGTCATAAAAAACTTGATGGTGACTTTACTTTTTATTCTCTTGTGATTTACCAGTGCATTAGGCTTTTGTTATTTCAAACTATGAGAATCTTTTATAAATGATATAAATGAGACTGACTGGATGACTAAGGGAGTAAAGACACTAGTCTTGGTGATCTTGGGAACAGAAATTTAAATCAGCAAAGTTGGGAATTTTTTATAGGCAGTCTGTCTCAAATATATTTGGTCTCATCTTTCATCATCTGGCCATTCTTATTGTGGGTCTGCTAAGCCTATAGTTGGCAAGGAAAAAAATATTCTGTTAATGTCTACAAGATGAAGAGAGTTAAGTACTAAAATAAAATGATATAAGTGAAGTAAATTTAATTATTTGCTTTGTTAATGGAGACCCTATTTATGATAAAAGATTTAAAAATTAATTCTTATAAATAAATCCATGCAATATTTGTCAACCTCTCATTAGAGAGACTTTTCTACTTACTGTAAATTGTTCAAGATTCTCTGGCACTGGATTCTTGTAACACTTTTTTTACAAAAAAGTTTTACAATAATTTGATTGTTTTTCTTTTATAAAAGTGCATTTAATTTTCAATTTTGGAATATTAAAAGAAAATAACAATTTGAAAAATTGTCTTAAATAAAATATCTTATCTTATTAAATTTAAAATTTACTTCCAAATTGATATTTCATAAAATTTCTAACAAATTTTTTTAATCTGCTCTAATGATATAAAATTATTTACTGAAAAACAGAAAATTATTTTTAAAAATTTTTAAATTTTCTAAAAAAGTCAACACAATATTCCTAAATCATGATTAAAAGCATGTAAGATTTAAGATGTGGGCATTTTTATTATAATTAACTTGTGCTTTTAAATATTAGAGTTTATAATTAAAGTATGAAATAGTAAATACTACTGAAATAAAATGTAAAAATTTTCTGATATTTTTAATTAACAAAATCTTAAAAAATGTGAAAAGCAGAACAAGAAGTTTTCTTCTTTGTTTAAATTTAAAATTATTGAACTTATACACACTATTTTATTGATTCTTTTAAATTATAAAGTTTTAATTGAAGTTTATCTGCTTGCTTTCATTAATAACTTTAAAAGAAATATATAATGTATTTAATAAGTTGGTCCATCAGAGAAATATTTTATTCTTTTTTATATATGTATTTTTTATTTTTACTCTTTCATAAATACAGTGTTTAAAAATACTATAGCTGCATTTGCTTGCAAAATGTCTTATGATTCAAATTAAAGTATCCCTATTCAGAGCAATTTTGCAGAGAACCAGTGGGTGAAACACCCTCATATTCTTAATATACATCATAGGTGCAAAAGTTTCTGGCTTAACTATATTTTAGACACAATAGGAATAAAATGATAGTATCAGCTAGCACCATCTCTATATGGACTAATAAAACAGTTTCTCTTGCCAATCTGCATAAGTTACTTGGAAACATTTATTGCATTAATTTGCATCTCTTGCAGGACACTACACCAGTGCACATGGCTACCATTGCTAAGGTGTGTGCACTGGTGCACTGTGAAGGAGTGTGGGTTTGAGGAGCTTGATTATCCACCCTATCCATCATCCACCTATAATAATCACTAGGAGCCAGGGCCTGACTAGACCTGGCTCCTAGTGATTATTATCTGTTTCCAAAACTCAAAAAGATCTTTGAAAAGCAATGAAGAGTTGCAGGATGTAGTTTGAGCACTTTGCCGACAAAACTTCAGACTGTTTTTGAAGGGTATTGAAATGCTAATTCAAAGATGTAATAAATGTGTTGAACTACAAGGAGACTATATTGAAAAATGGCTGGAAACTTTTGGCTCCTATGTGTGTACTTTGTGGTTTGTAGAAAAATGATTTTGACTATGAGCAAGAAAAGATGACAGCAAAATGGACTAGCTGGGGAATGAACCACACTCAACAGCATATAACTAAAGTCAATTTAGGGAATTTGTGTTTATTTTATACATTAATTCAGTATATGAAAAGAGTTATATATCACAAAGAGCTGTTAGTGGCTTCAGAGAACAGTCATGGAGGATCAAATGCCATGTTAAATGTGTTGGCTGTTATGCAGGATCAAAAGTTGATACTGCATGCCATATTTTCTGTATCAGTGACTATATGAATGAGTTTTTTTATTGTGAAAATTTTCCTCATAAACTAGAAAATATACACACCAAGTATGATGGTGTTTTGTATACTGTTCCCTCTGCAGATTGCTTTGAATAGAAATAGCTTAATTTGAATTATCTTGTATGTTGTCTCTTTATATGGACTTTTATGATAAGTAATACATTTTTGAATTTAATATTGACAATAATTTTGAAGTAATTACTGTTTGTTATTGCTTTTAAAGGTTTAGATATTATTAGGTTTCATATATTAAATAACTTAATATATTATATTTTTATTTTTTTAGTATCTATGCCATAGGTGATTGTGTGCCTGGACCTATGTTAGCTCATAAAGCAGAAGATGAAGGTAAGATGTTTTAAAGTTATAAAATAAATAATAATAAGTATTAATCTGATGTATTTAAGAACTATATATTTCTCCTGTATCTTCAAAATATAGATAATTTAATTTTATCACAAACATTGTATAATTCGGTAATAAAATTGTTATTGTTCGTATACAGCAGAACCTATTAATCTGGCACCTGATAGCCAAAATTTCTAGTAATCCAGCATTCTCTGAAAAGTAGCTGATTATTTGGAATTGTCCTATAATCCAGTATGCTAGTATTCTGCAAATTAGAATTTGTTTGGACATGTAGTGGGCTAAAGACTCCAGGCAATAATGTGTTGAAAAACTTAAAAGATATTAACAATCTTAACACAATTTAGTCATTCACTGTATCATCTTTAGACTAATTAAAGTGCATGCATAAACAAATCAAAAGCATACAGCAGTGTGCACTGGTGCAAAATATGCAGCAATATTCAGATTGCATATAACATACTGAATTTTGTAAAAATACAAAAACAGTTGATAATTTGTCACTTCTTTGATCTTGCAAGTGCCAGATTGACCAACTTCTTATGTAGTGATTTATTTCTTTTGTTGTAATTTTCTAAGCATCTTTTTACATAAAATTTACTACTAAGCATTAAATTGTTACATGCATTTGATTAAATAGCAGATGTTACACCTTTCATATTTATTTAACTTTATGTAGGGATTGTTTGTGTGGAAGGTATAACAGGTGGTCCAGTACACATTGATTATAATTGTGTACCATCTGTCATTTATACTCATCCTGAAGTGGCCTGGGTTGGAAAATCAGAAGAAGATCTGAAAAGTCAGGTAATTTTAATTAACCAGATTCTATAAAAATCTGATTTTATTACTGTGGTAGCAATTTATTTATAAAAAAATTTTTGAATGCCTGCAAACTTTTAAGAAGTTTTATGTTTTAAGCTGAGTATTCACATAAGTGATTTTGCTGTGTGATTTTGAATTCTTTTCACACTATGTATGCATGACCTAGATAAACTGAGCATCAAAATTACACAGTTAGCTGTGAATTAGACACTCAAGCTGGATAAACTTTTATTGTGTGAATCAGATGCACCTAATCATATGCACAGTGAGGATCACTTTAGTTATCAGTTCTATCCTGATTTTAAAAAATAATTGATTATTGCATAATGAATTGATGAATTGAAAACAATATGTCAATTAAAACTTGCATAAACTAATAAAATTTGCTTTATATATATGATATATATACAAGCAGTGGTGATATTCAGCGGGTTCGCACAGGTTCGGCCGAACCCGTTGTTAACATTTTCAAAGTTTTCCGAACCTTGTTAAACACACGTAACATTTCTCAGTGGTTTTGTTTCTTTTAAAAAATATATTAAAATATACGTATTATAATTGAGGTACACTTACTCAGCAGTATGTAAATAAAAAAAAACAAATTAAGGTGTTGTGTTTTTTGATACACGTATTATACAGTAATACCCCGAACTTACGCGATAGGTGGGACTGAGCGATAACCGCATAAGTCGAATTAGCGTAAGTCGGGGTATAATTTCCCAATTTGTGTAAAATCCAAGTCGGATGTATGTAAGCTAATAAGTGTTCTCGTTAGTCTTATCTCGTCTTTTGATTCGTTTACGGTTACAAGAAATCACCACATAGAGTCTCTCGAGTCTCCGTAGATATAACAAACACAGAAATAAATAACACAAAATAAATTGTAGCTATGTGTCGATTCCGCGCGACACGTCCGAACATGTAAGCTGTACAATAGTGTGGGGAGAGTGAGTAATCAAGAGTTGCATGGCGCTCAAACAAAAGACCAATCGACGACATTTGAAAATCGCGTAACTCTGGGTTCGCGTAAGTCGGGGTAGCGTAAGGAGTAGCGTAAGTCGAGGTATTACTGTACTCTGTAACACTACTAAACTAGAGCCTTATACCCCATTCGCCTTGGTGCAGCCTCCCTCGACCGTTTCAATCTCGACTGAAACAAGGTTCAATCGCGATCGACTCTAGAGAGTTCTTGAAACTAGATCCAGTCATAAGAGAGATCCCATAATCCCACGCGCGCCAGAAAATACAAGATGGCTGCGGAACACGTGTCGGGCTATCGACAGCAAAATAAAAAAAAAGATATTGTATTTCGAGAGACGATGACATGTGTCTATTATTAGATATATCGCAAGAAAAAGTATTGTATTTATTTCTAACCAAAACTTCCATTTTGTTTGTCGGTGTTCGTGACTTACCGCGTAGTTAAGTCAGTTTTATCATCGCGTGTAATATATATCTTTTTTTATTTATATGGGTATCTTAAGGTCAGTTTTTGCCTAATGTTGCTAATGCACCATTTGAGCGAAAAAAAATTGTTAAGGAAAAATTTTCTATTAGCGAACCCTTTGTTAAATATTTCGAATATCACCACTGTATATATATATATTTCAATATATATATTATGATTAAGGACTTTCAAATAAAGCATAATTTTTAGAGATGCTTGTAATATTTATAATGTAGTTGTAATCAGACAAATTATTTTAATAGTTGTAAGCTCTTAGTAAGTAATAATCAATAATTATCTGTTGATATTTGGGGTTTTCATTATTAAGTTGTATTTGCATTTTTTATATGACTAGTTGTCATTCAATAAATTCCCAGTTGAAGAAACTATTTGGAAAAAGGAATCACCAATATTTTGGATTGTCAATTAAATCAAATACATATAGTTTTCCACTTTTGGACAATCTTTGGACTCTCTTTCATACACTTTTATCCAGCTCTTTTGCAGTGATGCTTTTTACCAATTTTTGGTTTTATAATATACAGCATTTCAATAACAGAAAAATTTGTGAAAAAGTTTTTCCCTAGTTTTTTTTTGTTTACTATATGTTTTAACATTTTAAATGATGTTTTATAAACTGTGATATAGGAAAGTTTAATTGTTAAATAACTACGTTAATAAGTAATTTTATAATTTTTATTTTTAGCTCTCTATCAGGATTATCTTTATAACATTTAATTCATTTAGTTTTCAGACATTGAATTTTCACATGTATTTAGGAACATGTTATGTCTAAAAATCAGAGTTTTCCTATATTATATTTTGAAACAGAATACTATTAATATTTACATAAAATGCTTCAAATTTTGCTGAATACATTATATACCCATGCAATAGAAAGTTATAATAAATAAAAATAATTTACCATAACAAGAATAAAGTGATTTTGAAATCTTTTTAATTACAGAAAACAACAAAGAAATGCCAACTTAGGAAATATAGAATTTTGTTCATTAAACTTTAATTTCTTCCTTTAATTTTAGAATTACTATTATTAATTAATGCTTTTTATTGAATTTGTTCAGAAATTAAAACTGAAATGAATTATTTTAGTATTGTTTATTTTGTAATGGAAATATTAATTTATAAAATTGTAAAAGCTCTTCTTGAAAAGCGTTAAATATGAACTGGAAAAAATGGAATTATTATTATTATTATTATTATTTTTTTTGCAACATTAAATCATTTTTAAACTGGTCAATTCATAAAATTTTATATTGTTTAATTTTGACTAAAGGTATGTGTTTAAACCATTATCTTGTATTAAATTTAATTGATTTCTGTAATTATTATTCTGGAAAAATTATGATGCCATCTTGTATTAAATTTAATAACTGCTTAGAAGATATTATATAATTTGAAATAAAACATTAGTTAATTAGCCAAATTCTAGTGTAATAGTTAATCTGGCTTTTTCATCTGATTAATATCACTATTACTATATGCTTGCTTCTTGTTTCTTAAAATATTAATTATAAAATAAACTTTACATAGAAATATTACTGTTTTTTATTACAATGTATAATGTATATAATAATCAATCCTGAATCTTTGTAAACAAATACTTAAAAGTCAGTTTTATTCAAGCTAAATTTTGGTTTGCGTTTAATCATTGAAATTTTAAGTAATTTGGACTAAAAAATAATGGTTCAGCCACCATTTTGTATGATTATTAATAACTAAATTTAATAATTTAGAAAAATGTAATCCTAAAATTAATCTGTAAGAAAAGATTGATCCAGATCAGAACTTAAACAACAACTTCTACATTTCTGAATTAAAAGAATTAAAAAATATTACAGTTATGGTAAATAACTGGTAAAACCTACATCTTTTACAGGCTTCAGCTTATACCTTCTTCCAAATAGTTTCTTCAACTGAGGATTTATTGAAGTACAGTTATATCAAAAATGCAAATACAACTTAATACAGTGGAGCATCAATTATCCAACTCAATTGGGGACTGGGGTTGGTCAGATAATTGAAAAAATGGATAACCAAAAATGTGAAAAAATACATTATTAGTATAGTATATTAGTATATCCCATGTAATTAGTATATCAATATATCGCTATTAACCTACTTCTCGTTGAATTTTCATCGATGTTAAGCCTAACAAAATTTTTTAAAAATAATAATTGTCACTATTGTATTGTTAAAAATTATTTTAAAATTATTTTATTGCTCACAAAACAAACAACAACTCATAATTAGAAAATTAAGTNATATATATTATGATTAAGGACTTTCAAATAAAGCATAATTTTTAGAGATGCTTGTAATATTTATAATGTAGTTGTAATCAGACAAATTATTTTAATAGTTGTAAGCTCTTAGTAAGTAATAATCAATAATTATCTGTTGATATTTGGGGTTTTCATTATTAAGTTGTATTTGCATTTTTTATATGACTAGTTGTCATTCAATAAATTCCCAGTTGAAGAAACTATTTGGAAAAAGGAATCACCAATATTTTGGATTGTCAATTAAATCAAATACATATAGTTTTCCACTTTTGGACAATCTTTGGACTCTCTTTCATACACTTTTATCCAGCTCTTTTGCAGTGATGCTTTTTACCAATTTTTGGTTTTATAATATACAGCATTTCAATAACAGAAAAATTTGTGAAAAAGTTTTTCCCTAGTTTTTTTTTGTTTACTATATGTTTTAACATTTTAAATGATGTTTTATAAACTGTGATATAGGAAAGTTTAATTGTTAAATAACTACCTTAATAAGTAATTTTATAATTTTTATTTTTAGCTCTCTATCAGGATTATCTTTATAACATTTAATTCATTTAGTTTTCAGACATTGAATTTTCACATGTATTTAGGAACATGTTATGTCTAAAAATCAGAGTTTTCCTATATTATATTTTGAAACAGAATACTATTAATATTTACATAAAATGCTTCAAATTTTGCTGAATACATTATATACCCATGCAATAGAAAGTTATAATAAATAAAAATAATTTACCATAACAAGAATAAAGTGATTTTGAAATCTTTTTAATTACAGAAAACAACAAAGAAATGCCAACTTAGGAAATATAGAATTTTGTTCATTAAACTTTAATTTCTTCCTTTAATTTTAGAATTACTATTATTAATTAATGCTTTTTATTGAATTTGTTCAGAAATTAAAACTGAAATGAATTATTTTAGTATTGTTTATTTTGTAATGGAAATATTAATTTATAAAATTGTAAAAGCTCTTCTTGAAAAGCGTTAAATATGAACTGGAAAAAATGGAATTATTATTATTATTATTTTTTTTGCAACATTAAATCATTTTTAAACTGGTCAATTCATAAAATTTTATATTGTTTAATTTTGACTAAAGGTATGTGTTTAAACCATTATCTTGTATTAAATTTAATTGATTTCTGTAATTATTATTCTGGAAAAATTATGATGCCATCTTGTATTAAATTTAATAACTGCTTAGAAGATATTATATAATTTGAAATAAAACATTAGTTAATTAGCCAAATTCTAGTGTAATAGTTAATCTGGCTTTTTCATCTGATTAATATCACTATTACTACATGCTTGCTTCTTGTTTCTTAAAATATTAATTATAAAATAAACTTTACATAGAAATATTACTGTTTTTTATTACAATGTATAATGTATATAATAATCAATCCTGAATCTTTGTAAACAAATACTTAAAAGTCAGTTTTATTCAAGCTAAATTTTGGTTTGCGTTTAATCATTGAAATTTTAAGTAATTTGGACTAAAAAATAATGGTTCAGCCACCATTTTGTATGATTATTAATAACTAAATTTAATAATTTAGAAAAATGTAATCCTAAAATTAATCTGTAAGAAAAGATTGATCCAGATCAGAACTTAAACAACAACTTCTACATTTCTGAATTAAAAGAATTAAAAAATATTACAGTTATGGTAAATAACTGGTAAAACCTACATCTTTTACAGGCTTCAGCTTATACCTTCTTCCAAATAGTTTCTTCAACTGAGGATTTATTGAAGTACAGTTATATCAAAAATGCAAATACAACTTAATACAGTGGAGCATCAATTATCCAACTCAATTGGGGACTGGGGTTGGTCAGATAATTGAAAAAATGGATAACCAAAAATGTGAAAAAATACATTATTAGTATAGTATATTAGTATATCCCATGTAATTAGTATATCAATATATCGCTATTAACCTACTTCTCGTTGAATTTTCATTGATGTTAAGCCTAACAAAATTTTTTAAAAATAATAATTGTCACTATTGTATTGTTAAAAATTATTTTAAAATTATTTTATTGCTCACAAAACAAACAACAACTCATAATTAGAAAATTAACCCTCATTTAAATACTGGCCTCCCTTCAATGGTCGAGCCATTGATGCCAGCTAAAACATGCAAAAATTTAACAAAAATAATAATAAAGACATAACTAAATATTGTAGCGCCACATCACTAGTGGACATTTGAATTTGCCGACTAGAATGCGGTCGGTTAACTGATGTGACAGTTGATTGGGGGTCGGATAATTGATGCTCTACTGTAATTAAAACTTAAAATATCTAATTGTTGTAAAAGCTCTAATCAACTACTAAAATAATTTGTCTGACTACATTCACATTATAAATGTTACAAGCATCTCCAAAAATTATGTTTTATTTGAAAGTCCTTAATAATAATAATGATGAATGTATTTATAACTATGATAGTTTATTAATTTATTGTAATATTAGGTAGACCTATTGTCACAATGATAGATCTATATAAAAAGCAAATTTTATTAGTTTATGCAAGTGTTTTTAATATATTGCTTATAGTTTGCCAGACTACATTTTAAGCATAGTTAAGCATTTTAGGTTTTTAATAAGAATTTATTCTCTTTGTAAACAATAGAACACTACAGATTTTGTGCATAAACTAAACTAAACACTAATTGAATAATGAAATGTCAATTTTATTTCTTCTTATGGTGTATTTGTTTACTATAAGTGAAGTATTCTCTTCATGTTTATGTGTAACAATGATTTTATTTAAAGTATTACTATTTTTTCAGAACATTGAATACAAAGTAGGAAAATTTCCTTTAACTGCAAACAGCAGAGCAAAAACAAATGCTGATACTGATGGATTAGTTAAAATTATTGGGGATAAAACTTCAGATAGAATTTTAGGAGCACATATCATTGGTTCAGTATGTATAAAAATTTATTTAAGTTTATTATAGTTTATTATTATATATTACTTATGTAGTTTCATATATAACATTTATTTATGTAAACAAATATAAGTATCTATAAGCCCAGTTTTTTGGATTACCTTCATCCTACTATGCTGTGCAATGCAAACAGCCTGAGATGCTGCAAAAATCTCCAACTGTTCTGTATGATAAGGCCCATTGACATGTGTTCATCAAAGTTAAGAATATTGTTTAAGATGAGGCTGGGATGTACTGGAACATCTCCCTACATGCCTGATATAATCTTCTATGAATTTGATTACAGTAAGTCACTGCTTAACACTGCCTCTATTAATGCTGCAGTCTGCTCAAAGCCTTAAAAAAAGTCTCAAAATTTACGATGATTCAAATTATTGCAGCATTTCATTAATTTATATACACTGCTGGCCATTAAAATTGCAACACCAGGAAGGAATGATCGTATTGAATCATATTGAATTGATCGTATGAACGTCAAAATCATATGAAAGGAAGAAGAGGTTGGGATATGCAAATGATTTGTATTTCAGTGCATGTAGACAATGCAGTAGGGACAAACGACATCTGAAGCACTGCATAAAAGAAAAGTTGTGCAGTGGATTTCTCATTCAGAAATCGCTTTGTAAGGTCGGGGTTTCATCAGAATATCGTGTTATGCCTCGAGTAAGAAGAAGAAATGCTTACCAGCAAGTGTTGGAATTCGATAGAGGCGGGATCATTGCCTCTCAAGAGTGTGGATTATCGTTCCATGATATTGCCACTCGCACTGGTCGAAATCTAACCACTGTCATGCGAATATGGAATCGATGGGCTGCTGAGGGTCTTACTGAACAGCATGCAGGATCTCAATGCCCTCCCATGACTAATGCCCGAAAGGACAGACATATTGTGAGGTTTGCCGTGCAGAACCGTACAACCACATCACGGACCATTAGTCAGGAAATGAGCTTGTTTGCAGCACGTCTAGTATCTGCTCGTACAGTGCAACGATGTTTGCAGCAGCGTGGACTGTCAGCACGGCAACCATTACTTCGGCTTTCCTTGACAATGCAGCATAGAGAGAGATGGTGACTCTGGTGCGCCCAACGACAAAGCTAGATACAGGAGTGGCACAATGTCATCTTTTCAGATAAGTTCCAGTTCTGCGTGCAGCATTCTGATGGCTGTATACATGTCTGGAGGTTCCGAGCAGACTGCTCATTGCCTGCTTGCATTTGATATTGGCTTAGGGCCCTGCACCTGGTATGATGATATGGGCAGCCATTGGGTACACGACACGCACATCTCTAGTTCGGATCGATGGTAATTTGAACTCAGATCGGTACATTTCTGACATCTTACATCCAGTGGTTGTGCCCTATCTTTGAGGCCTGCAAAATGTCATCTTCCAACAAGATAATGCAAGACCTCATGTTGCATGTCGAGTTCTGACCTTCCTCGATACAGAGGATATTCAATTGTTGCCCTGGTCTGCATGGTCTCCAGATCTCTCACTAATTGAAAACATCTGGTCATGGGTTGCTGAGAGACTGGCCCGCCACCCCTCTCCTGCTAATACAGTTGATGAAGCGTGGCATAGACTTGAAGCAGCATGGAATGAGTTGCCCGTTTCTGTCATCCAAGCCCAGTTCAACTCCATGCTTAAACGGATAAGGGCCGTTTTAGCCGCCGGGGATGGCAACTGTGTCTACTAATTTCGCGCCCCAGTAAACCCCCAAACTGCTTGCAAATTTAATCATTTTGTCTTTATGCCATACTGTTTATGTATAATAAATATCTTTTTTTTTATTTGCTTTCGTTCTTGGTGTTGCAATTTTAATGGCCAGCAGTGTATAATACGATTATTCCCAAACATGAACCAATCAGTAAAAGGTGGCAATTCGTTGTAGTGCTATACTTTCCTTAAATCTATGTTTGTTTGGTGCCATTTTGGAAAAGATATAACATCATGGATGCCATGGGCAATATCAGTTTACTTGGCAAGAATTAACTGATAAATGCACGAACAAAGTGTGAAGAAGTTATGGCTGAAAATATCCAAGAATTCTCAATGAGAAGAGCCTATCGCTGTATCGTTAGGTTGACCAAATCATCAACCTAATCAATACAGCAGGACTAGGAGATGTAGACAAGCAGGATATTGAGGAGTTACTGCAGGTTTCTGGTGAGAGCCTTACCAACAACAATCTTCAAAAACTGGCAGAACAAGGAATTCATGTAGAACTGGAAAATAGTGATTCTGAAAACAAAAACCCAAAGAATTTCTCTACAGATTTGCTTAGTAAAAGTTTGGTAATGATAAAGATATTGTTGATCAAACTGTAGCAAATGATCCAGATTTTGAAAGGAGTGCAAAAGCAGGACGAGGTGTTTTGATGCAATCTCCTGCTACCAACGTTTGCTTAAAGAAAGAAAAAGAAAGTGACAAATGAAACTACATGATTTTATCGGAAAAAACAAGAATTTCAGAAGTGCCAGGATCTTCATTACAAAAAATGAACTTTACATTTCTGCGTGCATACGTTTGTGTTATTTAACATATACTATGATGCAAATTAATATAAAAATAACTTAAAATGAAAGTAAAATCTGTTTATTTTTGGTTGCGTGTTTCCCTATCCCTATTTACTCTGTGTTAAAATGATCTAGTTTAACACTGTTTCATTTAGTGCTTTGTCATCTAGGAATATACAGGTATAGAACAAAATAATAGGAACACTCCTTTCGAAATGTGTTGTACTTCAACCATCCAATATAGCCCCCCACACGTCGCAACAGTCTGCTATCCAGTGGCGGTGAAAGGGAAGGTATTAGTCGAGCATTTGGTGGTATGACAATTGCATGAGAAAATTCTGTTCCCAGCAAAGCGCCATTATGTCCAACCTGTCTAACATGCAAAGAGGCATGATTATTAGAGCTCACCTTGCTGGAACGTCCGTGTCTAGAACAGCCAACTTTGTGGGTGTTTCAAGGTCCACTGTGTCAAGGGTTATGACAGCCTACACAAAACTGGAAAAGGTGTCCTCTGAAAAGAAGAACAGTGGGTGAAAATTGAAGTTGACCAACCAGGATAGACGAGCGTTGAAGAGGATAGTCTCCCGAAAATGTAAGACTACACTGCTGCAGATAACCTCTGAGATGAACACCCATCTCCAGAACCTCGTATCCACCAAAACTATTCAACAGGAGCTGCATGCTGCGAGCATTTATGGCCAAGTAGCCATCCCAAAGCCATTAGTGTCACCACAGAATGCTATGAAGCGACAACAGTGGTGCCAAGACCACCGAAACTGGACACAACAACAGTGGGAACAGGTCATCAGGTCTGATGACTCATCATTTAAATTATTTCAGACCACCAGAGGCATTTCATGTTGACTGTCTGGTTCCTATTGTGAAGTATGGAGGGGCTCTGTGATGCTGTGGGAAGCAATATTGTGGCTTGGGGCCACTCGTAGTCCTGAGGGAGAAGGTCAGGGGCATTATCGCAGTATTCTCGCAGATCATTTACACCCTATGCTTCATACTCTGTTTCCTGGAGAACGTCCTCTATTCCAAGATGACAACGCCCCTGTACACATGGCTTGCTGTGTTCAAACATAGTTGGATGAGCATAATGATAAAGTGGAACATCTCACGTGGTGTCCTCAGTCCCCTGATCTCAACATCATTGAGCCTGTGTGGAGATTTTTAGAGAACAAAGTCTGTGCTCGGTTTCCTCCTCCACTCATACTACCTGAACTTGAGACCACTCTGCAGGAGGAATGGCTGTGAATTCCTTTAAACTTTCTGCACGACCTTTATTTCTCAATTCCATGTCAGATACAAGCTGTAATTCAGGCCAATGGTGGCCCAACTCCGTACTAATAAATATTTTGCATTCTTTCACAAGTGTTCCTATTATTTTGTTCTATACCTGTATGTATCTCCTGCATTAAGTGGGGTCTTACTGTATTTTCAAAGATCAAAGAACTACTACATGGGGAAAACAATCCCATAACAAAGATGAGACTATCCATACATTCAAGCAGTTGGAATAATATTTTCAGGAAAATAATTCCATAGATGAGTAAGAAGAATTCAAGGATTTGGTAGTTTTAAATAATGGGGAAACTATGTAGAAGTTATCATTCTAGGAAGATAATTCTATTTTCTGAAAAAAATTTATTAGTGTGACTTAATTGATGGTCTTAAAAATAATAATTTTTCAAAGTTAAACACATTAACAATGAAAAAAATTATATTTTGAACAAGTGTTTTCTGTCTGCTTAACAATTTTCTAATTATATTTAACTTCTTGCCATTCTGATTAAAGTTTGCCACATGATTCATATTTCTTATTCAAATCTTTGAAACAGAATTAGAGGTGATTTGAACAAGTTTTTAATCATCTCTAATTCTGAATATAACCCATTAAATAGGTTGAAAATATTTGTTCAGAATATCTCATCTATTATGATGATTAATTTTGTCTAAGTTTGTCGGTGAATGCACAATTTTTAATTTATAGATTTGCTTCATAATGTAATAGTTACAGAAGTTTATAAAATAAATCTAGAAATTAAACTTTATAAACTTCTGTAACTAGGATATATTTCCAGTTTTAAAAAGATAAAATTCATATTTGCATACAGGATTATTTAAAAAAAGCTTATGAATAGCTGTTGATGATAAATTGTTGCATGTGATGAAAGTGAGGAAAAATAAAGAATCGAAATTTTTATTTCTTTTGCACTTATTAAAGTATTAATATAATCAAGTGCAAAAGAAATGTATCCTGCAATGACAGTTTTCAATGAAGCCATAATCAGCTCAGCAATGAACAAAATAATGCCAATATTGTTTTTGTAATTTTCTTCTGCAACTAACAATTTTTGTATGTGTAATATACATATATGTACTGTACAGTATAATACATACATATACAGATGTTAGACTCAAAGAGAAGACAACACAAAAAGTTATTCAGAATCCTAGATTCATCCTTTCCATTTTTGTATTGGTGTAATATAGAAAAAATGAATCTGAAAACACTAAATAACTTTTGCATGCTGTCTTGTTTGTGAATTATATAAATTTTTTTTCAAGGAAGACATGTCCATATCCATAAAGTATTTTAATTTTATTATGTGTTGATTTTAAGATGTTTAGAAAAATTGTTATATTTGCTCATATATTATTTATTAATAAAAATTATTATACACAGACTGCAGGAGAACTTATTAATGAAGCAGCTCTAGCAATGGAATATGGAGCATCTTGTGAAGATGTAGCCAGAGTATGCCATGCACATCCAGTATGTTTCAAATATTAAAGATAAATCTGAAAATATAACAATTTAACATTATACTAACTGAAAATGCTTATCTTTTCAGACTGTGTCCGAAGCATTCCGAGAAGCCAATTTAGCAGCATACTTTGGAAAAGCAATTAATTTTTAATAGAATTGTTAGAATATTTGATGTTAGTGATTTTGTTATTTGAACTGTTAATGTATATGAAAACCAAAAAATATACAGTCTTATCTCAAATTTAATATTGACAACCTAGTCAAAGACAAAATAATCAGGAGTTTTATTTTGGGACAGCAAAAAACTTTGTAATTAAATACATGTACAGCTATAATTTTCAGTGAAAAAGGCAGAAATGGTATAATTTGGAAATTAATAAAAATAATTTTTTTCTCGGTACTTAATGATATTTCAATGAAAGAATTTACTCAAATAAACATTTTATTTAAATTCAAATGAATATGTTGTATTTAATTTGATTTTTAATAATTTTAGTTTTAACTGAAATTAAAAATATTAAGTTGTAATTAAATACTTGCAGGTTGTATTAATAAATATTATTATGTTTTTGGAAGATTGGTGAGAGAAGACAAAATTTAAGTATCTATAAATATTATCCTCTGGAATCTAATTGAGATAACAGCAGAAATATATCATAAGATTTTTAAATTCACTGAAGATAAGAAAATAGTAAAGGTAGGCATATCATTATCAATTTCTTTAATTCCAAATTTATCTTTTAAGAAAACTTAAAACATATTTTTGCTTTTATCCAATTAATTCCAGAGAATTGGCTATGACTTTTTCTTCATATTTTTCTAAAGTTATTTCTGTTACATTGTTAAATAATATAATAAAGCTTTTTATTTTTATAATTCTGCATGATGAAAATAACATTATGATGTTTCAATTTTAAGCAAAATATTTCTAAGAACTGATGAAATAAACTGTATTCAGTGTTTATGAAACTCTATTCTGTAGAACCTTGAGATACCAAGGGAAAGTGTAGAGGGTTCTGTGAGTTGAAAATGCAAAATGACAGACAAATTTATTTGTAGTTCTACATTTGTATATGACATTCAAAATTAATCATTCAGCCAGTGTTGGCACATGGACAAATAATTGCTGCTTCACAATGAAATATTTTTTTAAAGACAAATAATTGCTGATATTTTATTTTGTTTTACTTTTTTTTAATCTAAGGTTACGTCAGTATAAAAAGCTGATCAACAAGTTTCTAGTTTCTTAACCTAAATGCTATATATTTCATTAATAAATAAAAGAAAAAGTAGTACAAAATAAAAACACAAGCAATTACAGTATTTGGATCCCATCCCCACTGAAGTTGGGTTCACTCATATATGGTTATCTCAGTAGGTTACATTGGTGGTTTAGGGTTTTGTGTGCTAAGAGATTAGAAATTATTGTTCAAAAGTTTAGTTTTACAATATATAAAAGCTTACTACTACTTTGTGTACAATATTTTAGATCTGTTCTGAATTTAAACTAGAGATATTTTGAAAACGTATTTCACCAACACATATTTACTTAAATTATGGTAATACCATATATTCAAGAGATTTTGTAAATACATTTACTTTTATATTCTTATTTCATTTCATTGACAATTTTGGTACATTATAATAATAGTCAATATTTTTTTTAGTATCATTACATATCAAAGGAGATAATTGCCAAATATTAACATTGTAATTTTCTATTACTCAATGCCTTGTCACTCAATATTTTCCATCACTTTGTCATTTTTTGACATTTATAGGAACATTGAATATCAAACTAAAAATGTTTTATAATTGTAGCAATGTTGTTCATACTAGGCATGATTAAATCCTCTGTGGATTTTGGAGATATATTAGTGATTTTTTAGATGGATAATTTAAAATTGATAATTATTATAACATGGAATTAAGCATCAACTTTTTATTTATCAGGTAAGTTTTAAATTAACCTGCAACTTTGAGGAAGTTTATTTGTACTTATAATGTACATTCTGATATGAATTTGTTGAGACTCTTATTAAATTTAAATAGACAAAGATTTTTCCTTTGCCTGTTTAAATTTTAAAGTTGACATTTTCAAGACAAAATATGTATTTCATTTGCAAAATTAAAGAAAATTGAGAATTATTGAATATCCTCATAATTTTAATCATATAAGTAATGGTTTTCTTATGAGTGTGTGTGTGTGTAGTTTAAAATTACAAGACATGAAGTATATCAGCATATCAAATTACATAGTAACATTGACATTACATAAATACAATAAAATATGCAAATAGTTTTTTATTTAATTTCAGCATAATTTCTATAAATTAAAATTTCACTTTTAATTTCAGAAATGTGAATTTCAAATTACTAATTAAGTTTAAGAATTATTGTAGAAGTCATTAAAAGAGTTAAATCATCTATTCATAAAAATTTATTAAAAAACCATATTCAAAATTCCATTCATTGAAATTAGTGTATTATGTATTAAAAAATAATCCAGAGTAAGATTAAACTCAAATCTGAGTTGTTAATTTGATGACCTATCTTTAATTGATCCAACAGCATGGATGATATTAGTCCATGTTTATGAAGAGTTAAATTTATTTCAAAACTGTTTTGAACTTACTAGTTTTATCTAAAGTAAAATAAAATTTAAAAAAATGAACTATACCTGTTATGAAAATCATATATTTCTTCCATATTTCCAAACAGAATGTTATGTTTCCCAGCTATACCAATTGGTATATCACGTTCTATGTTCTTCATATCAGCCAGATAAGTATTAATACATGTTTCTAAATCTTTTACATAAGATCTTTCTGTCTGTAATAATTCGGCCATAATAAATCTGAAATAATACATATAAATTTGAAATACTTCTTATATTTAGGATTTTATTATTTATTAACTTTCTCAAAAAAAAGAAGAAAACTCAGTTTTTCGGTGTTATATAAATAATATTTTTAATAACTCAAACACTTTCAATATATCAGAATATCATCTTCAGGAAAACGATAAACAAATCAGAATACATTTGTCAAATCACAGTACTTAGTTTCCCATTTTCCTGAAAATATTTGTAATATTGAAAATGTTTGAATTATTAAAAATATTGCTTATTATAACATAAAAAACTGAGCTTTCATCTTTTTTGAGTTAAAAATTTGTGGTATATGCATTTTCTATCTTATTCTTACATTTAATTTAATGTGTAGTCAAAACAGAAGAACAACCATTTACATTAGAATAAATGCTTCAAAGTAAAATGTCCTTAAAGTTACAAAATGAAATGAATTTCCATAAGATTTAGTAAATCTTGTTTAAAACTGATTAACATATTTTTTTACTTTATTTTAGATGGTAACCAAAACTATTACACTTAATCCATTTTGAATAAGAATTAATTGGTTCAAATATCCATCAGAATATTTTTTACTTAAATATAAAAGACTACTAGTCAATTTATATATAGATACAATATTATAATACTTAATTTTATTTCCAATTAAAAACAACAAATANTGTTAAGAAATTAGTCATTGAATGATTAATATTGTATGAAGTTAACAATAGTACATTTTAACAAATATTTCATTTTTTTTAACCATATTCACTAATTCTTAATATAACAATCACACATCTAATACATGTTTTAGACCAATAATGATCAACCTTTTCTGGATTTGGACTGCAAGTAAGGTTTCTGACAGGCAGCATATACTTTTCTTATGGAGTTGCAGCTTTAAGTCTGCTGAATATCATATATTGTAAAACTTTCAATATACTAGGTACTAAAATAATATACAGTGGAACCGCGGTTAACGAACGTAATCCGTTCCACGAGTCTGTTCATTAACTGAAGCAATTTTTCTCATAGAAATTAATGCAAATACAATTAATCCATTCTAGCCATCAGTATTTTTGTAATTTTATTTGTAAAATGGGTTTTCTTTAATGAAAATATCGGAAAACGTGCTCATAAACAGTCGATCTAGGTTAAATTTTCGGAAAAGGGGAAAGATTTGACGGGTATAAAAACATCACATATGATCGTCAAAGTTCTAAAATGACAGATAGCAGAAACAATAGACTAAATTATGAGCGAAAAGCTTATAGGTTTATCAACAATCTCTGATCAGAGTCGATGAACAGGTATCAAATAAACGCCTCGGAACAAACCTTTCTCGTGACCTGATCTGGTTTTGGTTTTCACCTGGAGACAAAGAAGAAAACAATCAGGAAGCGAGGAATGGGATGCAGGACTAATTGTAAGGTGAGATTCAAGGAAGAAATACTATACAAACCTTGAATCTCAAGGTCAAAACGCTGTTTTCCTAAAAATTCTATGGCGATTAATCTGTGTTGTCTTCATCTGGATTAAGCCTGAAGTCGTGCCCGCTAAAATTTGTGTTGTGTCTCACGGACCGCTCCAGTTGTTGCAACTCTGTCACCTACCATCGCTTCTGTGACCAAGCGAACCCATCTTGTCCGCTCTGGGGCTACAACTGATCAGCTTGCACTATCGTAGGACCAGCAATACACCACTTCTCAGTACCGGGAGAAAATACTGTAGATAAGCCATTTCTAACCACCTCAAATATGTAAGCATCTTCCCGTTTTAATAAACGATTTTCACTGTAAAATACTTGTCATCTTTGTCTCTTCCACAACCACCAACGTACGAAGGGACCCAAGGCCATCACCAACACACGATTAACTGATTCCCCCTAAAAGTCAGCAAGCTTACAAATTTGACACAAAAAGCCATTAAGTTCGTTATCTGAATTTTGTTCGTTGTCTGAGACAAAATTTTTGCAAAATAAAAGTTTGTTAACTGGGGTTCCACTGTATGTTACTGATATGCAAACTAGTAATGTATAATTCAGTCTCATCTTTTTACTAGTCAAGTTTAGTTTTAATGTTCTACATGACCAATATCAGCTTAATTATGGTTGCATAATGGCACAAAGTAGAAAACAGGAAAATTAAAATTGTTATTGAAGCCCTGAGAGTTATAAGGAATATTGCAGACTGCAGGTTGCTCATAATTGTTTTAGATCTTAGTCAGATCAAGTGGTATTGTTCATAAACATGTACTGTGTATGTTTTCTAATTGTGAAATTAGTGGAAAAGTATAGTTATCAGCAAGGATTAACTGAATGATGACTTTATTAGAAATATTATTGTAAAAATAATAGTATAACCAGAATTTATTTCAACAAATAAATTTACTGAATTCAAATAGTACATATTTAGTTTTGATGTCAGAGAATATAAACTTGAATAAAATCTAATATAATTAAGATTGTTATTTTCAAATAATTTATTCAAAAAAGAAATATTGGAAATTTTTTTTTTGTTGACATTTCATAAAACCTTTCTCGGTAGTTA